CTTATAGTACAGCACAATCTGAGTGAGAACATAATAAATGATATTTTGCTTTTACATTTCTGTTTTTTCAGCCATGCCAATTAAAATAAGTTACATTTGATTATAAACTACCAATAGCCATAATTCTTCTTTTTATAAAAGGCTTAGACAGAGATAATAATACAAAATAAATTCTACGCTCTTAACCTCCTTCCTGCAGCTATAGCTTGTTCTAAGGCATTTCTCCCATAGGAATCACATGCAGAGAGTGAAGCCCCTCGTTCCAGTAATAATTTTGTCACTGCTACATGCCCTTCTCTTGCTGCAAGCTGGAGAGGTGTTGTTTTTGTCTGAAAAAAAAGGATGGTTATATAAGCCCAACTAATAATCCACTATGTGCATGACATAAAAATAAATATTTAGGGAACTACTACAGCATGAAGTGTGGCAGCACAAATATACCCTACATCTTTAATTTTTCAAGTTTTATTGAGAGCTCAAACCTGAGAAAGAAATGCTACATACCTTATCCAGGGGATCCAGCGGTGCATCGTAGTCCAACAACAAGTGGACGCAGTAAACATGTCCCTTGGCAGATGCACAATCAAGAGGTGTCCAGAGTGACGTGTTTCTTGCCTCAACCTCTGCACCATGCTCTAACAGGACCTTCACAACGTCAGCATGACCTTCGAGACATGCTAAATGAAGTGGTGTGTTGGACTCCTCATTTTCATCAGGAATAAGGAGTTTGTGTCGTCGTACAAGTTCTCGGACTACCCTGAGGAGATTAACATTTAGGTCAGAACAGACCTTGGTGGGCTTTATAATATAGACATACTATAGACTGGGTTTTACATTTTCAGCTTAAAAAATGTGAAGTATTTCACACACACACACATAGATTCAATGAACATACTTGGTTTGGCCATTTTCAGCTGCCACATGAAGTGCTGTCTCTCCATCCTCATTCTTATTATCAATCTGAGAACCCGCATCAAGGAGCAACCTAACTATAGCAACATGGCCCGATTTAGCTGCCTTGTGGAGGGGAGAATCATCAAACCTGTCGCTAACATCTATGAGGTCTTCACTTTCAGCTGCTGGTAGTATAACCTGTAATCATTTGGAATAAAAGCTTATCATATCTAATTTTCTGCACAATCAAATATATGCATAATATAAACAAATGTATAAACAAAGATCAAACTATAAATCAAATAAAAGAATCTCACCCTAAGAGCTTCCTCAAAGCCTTGATCAGCGCACCAAAATATCACCGTCCTGTCATCTTTGTCGAGGGCGGACACATCAGCACCATGTTCGAGCAACGTGCTGATAGCCTTGGCATGACCACAGCAAGCAGCTACTAGGAGAGGAGTGAAGGAGTCCCTGAAAATATGATATTTTACTGTAGATCTTTGTGGTTGCTATTATACGTAAAGAAGATAAAGGAGATTCTAATATTTTTTCTGTAATGAATTGATGGTTTCATGGTGTTAGTTTCTCTATTCTTTTTTTTAGGGGGAGGGGGGATTAATTAAGCAGGATTTGGGATAGAAAATTAGAATGTGCTGGGACTATTAATAAATGGTTTAAGCAAAACTGTGTAAAATAGATTCTGAACATAATTCATAAATATGTGGAACAAATTTTGAAAACTGGGAATATGTCAAAAATATACTCAACAAAAAGTGTTCTTCCTCGAAAAGATACACTGAACACAAATGGAGTTAAATTAGACTATACTTAGCAAGGCACATGTTCTACATTACAAACAATTTGAAGGATAGATTCATGCCTAGAAGGACAGAAAAACACAAAATGGGACAGTTAAGTAATGGGAATTCAACATTCACGGACGCTGATTTATAAGGCTGAGGAGAAATTGTAAATCATTTACTAACAAGGAAAAAGAAATACTTGAATTCATCCATAAAGTACATCAAATTGTTTAGAGAAAAAGGGATACATTCTTTATATAGGGAAAGGCTAGGATCCAATTAATGTGTAGATCTATATTACTTATGGGTAAAAGAGTAAAAATGCACCTTTAATGTCATATGTTAAGTGAGTTTCTATAAATTAAATAGGTAAGGAGAAAAAAATATGTGAAAAAGTCTCTAATTTCATTCTGTTTCTCATTACCTATTCACCTTATAAATGCATTTTATAGATGACCCAGAGTTACCAGCTTCAAGTAATACCAGCTCCCTAATATTTAAGACGAAATTCCAAAGTACGAATATATCGAGGTCAGTGTAGCTGGAGACAGCTCATTTTCATATATTCACACTTCAAAATTTTCCACAATTACACAAGAAAGACGTTCAAACAAAGACATAAGTATACATTAATCCTGAAATCAGATGCGGCAAGTCACCATGTTACCTGTCTTTTGCTGTGATAAATTTCCGAAGGAAGCTAGGATGGAGAAATATGTATACAAAAAAAAAAATATGTCAGCTTTACACTATATTACATTTTTCATCTTTATAAGTATATCAAGAGGTACATTGTTAGA